ACACGTATTATTCTGACACTTGGTCGGTCGTGATCATTCAACGTCGATATTACACATGTTTCATGTGAACTTTAGACTGAAATTGTTTAATATATTTAAATCTTAGATAAAGGTATGCAATAATATTTGACAACAAATATAGTAATTTTCAGAAAAGTTTGGTTCACATCCAATGAAAAACCGAGTTGATAGAGGTACAGTAATATTAACACTCGATCCAAGTTTCAGTGAAAAAATTATGAAACTCATTATTGGTAATTTAAACAACTAAGCAAAAAAAAAAGAAATTGAGTCCATAATTGTACAAAATGTTGTATTAGTCTTGATGCGTAAAAGTCAACAGCATATATAGGTACATGTATGAATATTTTATCTACATAAGAAGAATTTTACCTAAACAAAATTGTATTTCAAAAACTTGTGTATAGAACGCCACAAAGATTGATAGCGAATTCTTGACTTAAACCGATTAGAAAGATCGATATCTTCTTGATAAACACACAATACACAATCATTCCCAGAAATGAAAAATCAATAAGATATCTTACAATTGACGCTGTCTATGTATATTTTCCTGTAATACTTGACCGTCAGTTTGTATGTCCAAGAAAATGGAATGCTGGGATATAAACTGTGTTGATGTTGCTATTATGATATACAATGCATGAACACTGTACTATTTCAAGTTGATATCAAAACTCACCATCTAAGTGAGGTTTGGAGACTACTGGTATTGTTTTTAGAGAGAAACGAAAGAAGAGTGAGAGAGCTCCAACCCACGTTGAAGCCCCAGGGAGTACAAACATATGAAATATTGGTCATTAATTTTAATACATGTATATATAGCAATCATTATCCCCATCGTTACTATTGTAGCTGTCTTTTAAATAGTTTGATATACTAGCTGTTTTCTTCAACCATTATCTGAGAAAAACACATGTTTGTGCATGAAAAATACAGTTTTGTCTTTGCATGTGCAAACACGATCCTGTAAGAGGAAAATGGACCTTCAAAATATATTTGAACTAAAGATCGATCCCCTATTCTCCATCCATATTTCAGAGGTGATCTGGATGATGGTTCATTTATCCAGCTGACGTGTTCGAAGAATTTGTAGTCTGAATAATACCTCGGATGATAGTTAGATACTTCCGACTTCACAATGGACATTTAGATCAACATTTACAGATTTGACTTTGCCTTTTGGTCATACAGATCAGCTTCAACAGACGTGTCTCTGTCTGAGCAATGTCTGAGCCAGCAAAAATCGACGAATTTTGATACCCGTATGGATTTTGTTCAACGCCTTATATATGGCTATAAACCACCCCGTTTGCGTATGCCGAAAAATAAAAAACGCCGGGTTGTATCATGTTAGATGACAGGCAGTTGGTAGTATGCTGTGCATCACGGGATTGGCTCAACAACATGGCGTTGATCACGAACACGGTTATAAACAGTCTTTGGTTAGGAAAAGCGACCATTTCGGAACCACACTGTTTGACATATGTGTAAATGATTTAACAAAGTAATATACCATTAGTGTCTGAAGACTTGGTTACAAAACGACCATTGTAAATATATTTACTAATAACATATTTTAATTGGAAAACAAACACTGCATCACTAGTCTTGTGTTTACCTCTTCGTATGTACTAAACACCCGGGTATACTGACTGATAGTCTAGGTACAAAGCTGCTTCAGTCTCTAAAAAAATCCAGGGGTACAATTTTTGGTATCGGTCTTGGAACGCGAATTCATTGTGAAGTTCGAATGCATAATCCTTTAGAAATTTAGTTAATATTCGGATGAACAGAGAAATCTTCGTATTGGGCATGATCTGCCTTTAGTTTCCTGAAATACCTTACCATACTTTGAAGTAAACGCCCTTATTCTCTCTCTGTTGACTTTGTAGAATGCATTATTTAACACCGATTACACATGTCCAAGAAACACACCATTTCATAAAAAGCTTGAGAGTTCCCTGTAATATTTTTTTATATGAAAACAATTGTTCTCTACTAAACAAGCACGGAAATTGATTTTTCAGGTAGGAATAAACTGTAAAGTTGAAGGATGGAGATGGTAAGTACACATTTTAAAAGTTTTTAGCGACCATTTACTACTTCTCAAAATTCAGTTTTGTAACAACATGAAGAGTCTGATAGTAATTATTTGTTGTTGGATCATTTACAAGATTTGATTCTATTTCAGAACTGCCATTGAAGCAGTAAACAGTTGTATACTTGCTATCATTTATCCTGGAAGAAAGGAATAACAGTATCTTCCAAGAACGACTTCAAAAATGATTTCTTTTTCACAAACAGATTATCGTTTAGCCTTCTAAAAGAAGCATCATGCCCGAACTCATGTAACAATTAGAATAACAAAAATACCGAACTCCAAGGAAAATTCAAAGTGTCTATATGCCCTTTTTTATTTAAATAGTTATTTCTTTTATAGTGATTAAGTTTATAACACAATGTTGACTGCTGTTCCCTACTTTTTGACATTTTAACCTATTATGTCTTTTTGTTTTGCTCACACATTGTTGTCAATGTAATGGAATCATATATGACTGTCATACAAGTGAGAGATTTTCTTAGCTATAAAACCAGGTTTAATCCACCATTTTCTACATAATGAAATGCCTGTACCAAGTCAGGAATATGACAGTTGTTTTCAATTCGGTTGACGTGTTTGAGCCTCTGATTTTGACATTTGATAAAGGACTTTCCGTTTTGAATTTTCCTTGGAGTTCGGTATTTTTTACTTTTTTCAAAACGGAAAGTCCCTTATCAAATGGCAAAATCAAAAGCCCACACACATCAAACGAATAGAAAACAACTGTCAGTTCTGACTTGGTACAGACATTTTCTTTTGTAGAAAATGTTGGATTAAACCTGGTTTTATAGCAAGCTACTTGTATGACAGTCGTATAGAATGTCATCATATTGACAACAATGTGTGAGCGAAACAAACTGACATGAAAGATAAAAATGTCAGAAATTCGGGTACAGAAGTTAACATTGTGTCATAATCTTAATCACTATAAAAGCAAACAACTATGTCAACAAAGAAAAACAAAATGGCATGTGGACACTCTATAGACAAAACACATTAACAAAAATGGAAGACAAGAATACCAAAAATTATCAAAGCACAATAACACAATGGCGGGATGTATAAATATCGAGCACGCCAAAAGTTTATGGCAAAAAATTGACTAAACAGTAAATGTTGAAAATACACAAAGAGAAATAAAAATAAAACACCATAATACGTAATTAATGATGATGAACAACGTGAAGCGCAGGTTCCTTTTCGCCGTTACGTTCAACATGTAACAAGCCATGAATACTAATTGATAGAGTGTTTTTTCCTTGAAGTTGTCTTTGGCGATTGAATCGAATCCGTAATAAAAATGACGATAACACTTTATATCTTGCAGCACATCTATTGACTCAAAAAGAGCATGTTTCATGTTTCGGTTGTTTTCATCGACGTCTACCTATAGTGGATAGTTGTCTCAGTTGAAATTATACTACATCTTTTCATTTTTATTAATTTGACAAGTTTTTAGTGAGAGACATTGAGTAAATAATGCATCATTGCCAAATTCATTTCATTCTACTATATTTTGGCACTATAAGCGAACAAAAGTTACAGGAGTGCATAATATGTTCTAGATTAATTACTTCTATTCCGATGTAAATTAGAGTTAATCTATCTGAAACACTCCTTATATGGATTTTCAAACATCAGGTAAGTCATTCCATTAATTTTTAAAGTATGGGGTTTTCTTGTTTGTCACTGCATTATCATATCAGTTTAAAGGGCAAATGTACAGGTTTATGCAGTGATGTACTGATTAAAGTTCTACATTTTGTGCTGGACTTCTTCAAACATTTCAAATACCAACTGGGCTTTATGGTAGAATGCTTAGTTTACATGTTTCCTTCGTAGCAAATCTTAGTGTTGCTTTTTCTTATCTCAATTTGTGGTTTCTTCTCTAAAATAGTAGACATCAATTAGATCTTGCATCATATTTGTGATTGTGACATTTTAACTGAGTGTGGATTCGCAGAGCGGGTGATGTATGCATTACATGAGACGCTTGCCCTGTCGACGCACCCAGTCTCGCATATTTTGGAGGTCATGCGATTCTCTCAGTTTTTTTGTTTGTTTCTATGATGAGCCTCTTCTTATTTATTTTCGAGATTAGAACATCGGCAAACTATTGCAGCCTTAATTTTGTACCTTTATTGCTACGATTTATCTTTCAGACATTAATCGTATATATCAATATCGTATATTGGACCGGTAGAGCAGAATGCTGATTGCCTCGTTCAAGTCCCTAAAACAATTTCAACCTCATATTTAACATGTTAAAACGGTTTATAATTTTTTTTAAAAGACAGCTTGGTCCATAAACTGTCCTATGACATCTTATCCATGAATCATTAGTGTAAAATTATATTCGCAATGTTGTAAAAATAAAGTAGGGATTTCTAAAACAGGGACGAAAGATACCAGAGGGACAGTCAAACTCATAGATCGAAATCAAACTGACAACGCCATGGCCAAAAATAAAAAGACAAACAGACAAATAATAGTACAGATGACACAACATAGAAAACCAAAGACTAAGCAACACGAGCCTCACCAAAAACTGGGGGTGATCTCAGGTGCTCTGGAAGGGTAAGCAGACCCTGCTCCACATGTGGCACCCGTCGTGATGCTTATGTTATTACGCATCCGGTAAATAGTCTAATTCGGTAAGTCACATTCGTGAAAAGGGAGGGTATTGTAGTTACGACATAAGGAACATATCCGATATCATCTGTGAAACGGTTATTCCATAATGGTCAACCAACTCGTGATGGCGTTCGTAAAATTTACGGAGGTCAACTATAAATGTGAAATATACATACGAATCAAATGAGTGTAGTCTATGTAATACAGGTTACAGCAATAAAAAAAGATGTGATTACAACAATAAATCAATATATGGCATTTATGGAAGGCAACGTTACAACCTGTCATTTGCTATTTGCCATGAAATATCAATACAATCAAAACAATGACTTAAACATAAATAATATTTTCTATTTTCTTTTTTGTTTAAAAAAACGTCTTTATATTTGAAGCTGATATCTTTTTATAATACATGTAATATATGCATCTTTTACTATATTTTCTTAATATATCTAATATCAGTTTTAGCTTTTTTTTTATTCTAAATTAGATATTGTATAATCATGTTAAATTTTTGAAATCAGTAAAGTTTGATTGCAGTATAATCATTTTAAACTGCGTTATGAGCTGTAGTATAACTAGGATTTCTTCAATTATAACCAGCCAATTAGCAGTAAAATGATAGAAGACAACAATGAACATGATGTCAAACATACGTCTTGCATATGAAATTGTAATATGTATCACAATCGTAGCTGTACCATTTGTACTCGAAGTCTTCCCATAACTCAGCACACTCGTACGTAAAAGCCTGTGACATGTCTTTTGCCCATCGTGTATAGTTCATATTTGTGGTTTGACCATCGTAAGTAAACCATTTGTATATACCATGGTCACTCTTTCCGCCAATCCAGAAATCTGTTCCTGCAACAAAATAAAGAAAAGGAGATTAAGGTCTTTTTGACAATAATTTTTAAACATATACGGTATTTGATTTCGTTAAACAATAGATCTGAAGTAAGGTAAGCGAGTTGTTTTAAACGTAAGGACTTATACAGAGGTTAAGGGGCATATTCTTTTGTTCCTGTGTTTAAAAAACATGACTGATATTAGGTATCGTTTTAGCTCAATTGCAATATATCCTTTAAATGCTTTTTTGGAAGACGTCTATCTTTGTTTTTGTGGTCTGTAGGATAGAAATTAAAGAGTTGTTTTAGCTGTATCTTCTTCATTTTCCTACTGAGTTAGATAAGCTGATGAGTAAAACTACAAAACAAGGGAACTCTCGTCTGTGGTAGTCATGTGTCTTTAAACATTTTTATTTGTTGGTCATATATTGTTTGTTGTTTTATTTAAATATATATGTTGTACTTGTGTAGCTTAAGTGTAATGTAGGAAAAACATAATTCAACAAGCTAAAAATCAATTTAATTTAATCTTTTGATGAATATCATATGTTGACTTCCTCTTGGGGTTCATTAAGGTGCAGTCTTAGGAACTTATCCCCAACATAGGTTATAAATTGACCAGTAAGTTGTTAATTTATCATTACTTTTTAAACAAATCATTATGATTTAAACACATTAATAAAATGTAATCAAAATAGTGCTTAAATTAGTATGTAGTCAACATATCAGTAATTATAAACTTATCTGAATATAGGTTGGCGAAAAAAACCAAATTAGGCAAAATGCACAGTACAATGTAGCAATAATACTCCGTTGTTTTTTAAACAGTGTGAAACTATTCAGCTAGGTACTACAATTCCATTATATGCTATTTGTTTAACTGCCATACCGTTAAGTTGTGGGACAGAACGATAACGTATTAGCAGGTCAATTATTTTGACCTTGGTTTCATTTCCTCCGAACATTATTTCATTCCATATTGTTCATGATTGTTATTATTGTTACGATTACCTAAGTTGTGTAATCTACCTTAACGCTAGTACATATTAAACCGATTTTCCTATACCATGTATACCGATTATTCTTTGAATTTTCCTAATGTACCCTTTTCTCAGCATCTGATTAAATAAAGTGTAGCAAAGATCAAAATAAAGAACTAGTTAAACGACGCCACATGTTTCTGTAGCCTGAAAACTTGAACTAACAATGCAATGAAAAACTAGTTTTTGCAGTCCTTTCTTTTATTGAATATGAGGTTTACTTTTCGTTGGCAGGAATGAAAATGACAAAATGCTGTTGATCTGTAGTGATTACCTGCTATGCTTCAAGTGTTATGTATTTCATGCTACATGAAACCTCACCCATGATGATAAAAATTAAAATGAATGTCTTAAGCAGAAATTTCGTCAGTATTTTTCTTAATGTGTTCGTTTGTATTTGTTGTTTTTGTGATTTGGAGAATTCGGGGGAATGTGCAAAAGTTTCTGCTAAGCCAATTCAAACCTTATATAAAATGGAGTAGGGTTAAGATGGCTGACTTTGACATATTGAACAGAGACAGGGTTATCGTTGAAAATCTAAACGGTTACCTTTAAATTTCTTATTTGTATTTTTTGTTGCTCTCTGATTAAATTTCTTACAAATTTCCTATGTTTCACGTTCCATCAATGTGTTTGTTGTTACCGATTTTAGAAATGAAAAGAAAACTATAGTTCACACGAACTGTCCTAAACTTTCATATATTCTTTCTAAGTATATGCTCTAAATATTCTTGTGCATGTTGATAATACATTAGCAGTTTGCCATTAATAAATGAAAATTGATAATGACCAGATCAGTAGATTTTACAAAGTGAAATATGAAATTAACCAATATAAATCTTGACCAAAGAAATTGTATGTGATAACATAGATCAGTAGGTCATTAACGAACCATTGGTAATATACTGGGAACCAATAGTACATTGAAAATGGATTTACACGGTGATATGATGTCATCATATGATGTAAGCAAATAGACGGGCATACGTTATAATCAGAATTTTGATTACAAATTAAATATTATAAGACGACAAAGAGATTGGTAATTAACACATCAGTTGTTGTTGTTCTTTTTTTTACTATAATTAGTCCTCAATTTAAAAAAAATATCATAGTTTATCCTTTTACTGTAGATTAGAAGTCTTTAACATGTTTTAGTACTATAGGGGCCTCGATGACCGAGTGGTCTAAGTAGTCGAACTACTGTATCACTAGGATGTCAACACTGGGGTTGTGAGATCGAATCCCGCACGTGACAGGTACGCTCGACTCTAATATTAATTGACTAAGATTGTAAGTTTTCCTACCGTAGATCGGTGGTTCTCTCCGGACACTCCGGCTTCCAAACCAATAAAAACTGACCGCCACGAAATAGCACAGAAGTGTTGAAAGTGGCGTTGAACAACAAACAATCAATCAACCAATTAAGTATTGTAATAAGATTGATAGCAATCTCCATGACTGAATTGTAGTTTTGTGAAAGACACTTGAATGAAATGGTATTATTATAAAACAATTATGTTTATATCACAAGCTAACGTTCATTTTTGTTCAATACCACATCGTTTATCATTCGGCCAATTCAATTTTGAATTGTAAACATGTCTTTCTAAAGCATTTGATACCTTCGTCCTAGTTGTATTGTGGCGATGTATAGTGTGCAGAAGGTGTAGCAAGTAATGTGTTGTCTATCCTTGAGCGCAGAATGCTTCAATAAACCACAAACCTGAATGTGTACGACAATAATCAGCCAGCCACAAGGCTTCATTCTCAGAATAAATATCTGCAAGCGATGCGTTCTGTGTTCCGCATTGCTCCTACAAGACAAATGCATTTTTATTTTGACATTTTATTTTGAAACAACATTTTCATTTTTTTGTTCAAATACAAATATTCCAAAACCAACAAAAAAGCATATACATGAAGAAAAATATAATTCTGTGTACAGCGACATTAGCTGCCGATTCATGTGTACTAAATTGATACAACTCCCGTAAAGAGTAAAAACATTTTGAAACAGGGCGCAACTAATTAACCATCGACATGACCTCCAAAGATTTCCGATGGGCATATAACCCGGATATAAATATATATAGATAAAAATATATAGATTAGTATCAATTACAAGTGCAATTGTATAATAACGATTTCCTGTTTGATTTCATTTCTTAATAACACAAATGATGTACGTAATTAGGTTACTTGGAACCAGTAAAGCTTTTCCTTTTTTAAGGGCATATCAGTAAACATATTGATCTGCATCTTGCATTTGCTCATCTATTTTAACTTTTCAGCTGACGTTTTTAATAGTACGCTGTGTATATAAACAATCTCCTCCAACTGAAATCACTTACCAGGTCGCATACTTATGGATTTTCATGAGGTGGAATTATTCTTTTGATTTTTTTTGTTTATATTTTTTAACAAAAGGTCTGCATTTGATGCTATGTTGTTATTTTTTTTGTTGCTTTTTGTCATCTTGAGGAAGAGTTCAACACTATTCAAAATATATTTAGTGGCGAATATGATATAAAGTGTCACTGTATGACTCTAAGAGATCCGAAGATATAGAACGGACACTGATGATCAATAACCTTAGAGCAAATTTTATAAAGTTTATTTAAGTTTGTGACCTTCAATAAAATACACATCTCAATCTTACTGGTTGTACATTCGAATGGTGTAACTCAAGCATAAAAACCATCACTTTTGCTTCTAATTGTATAAAGGTATAAACAGAGATTGTCAAACATTTAATTACATTTCTAACCCCAGAGCGAATTTTCCAACATTGTTTGTGTCGCAGGTACTAAAGTTTAAAAATAAATCATGCAGCGTTATATTTGTTAACACTGAATGGTCTTTACGATAGGGATGGGAAATGATTTGTGATAGAAGAATGGTCAGATGTACGGACGGCCATCAGGGTTCTTAGAATTCATCATGAAGCTTTTGTGAATTAAGGCGACATTATTTCACCGATGTTCAAATCTCTTTTATCGATTACAAAGAGACAAATCAAGGCAACAGACAGTAACGGAAGGAATCGCATGAACCCTAAAAGGATGGAGACCGGGCGCGTCGACAGAATACAATTATGAATAAATAAAGGCACAAGTCGTTTACCGCTGTTCAATAATCATAAATCGATTAAGCGAAAACAAATCCGGGTTACAAATTAAAACCGAAGGAAACACATCAACTTTAAGAGGAAAACAACGGAACAACAGAAACACTGAACGGCAACAAAAACAAACGCCAACATACATACAAACGGACTATTCGATAACAACTGCATAGATCATTATTTTCATAATTACCTGTGCTTCGTCCCATGTATTCCATTTATTACTAAAGCAATAACTTGCGCCAAAATCATCACGTTTTATCCAGCCCCCATGGCATTCTAATGTGTCCACTGTCAATGAAAAACAAAATAACTTTGTTAAACTCTGGATTTTTGTAATCAAAGCATTATATTTCCTATTGTTGGAAATAAAGCATTTTGTAACCTATCAATTGCATTCATGTTTTTTTTGATAAAAAAACCCCATCTCAAATTGATCGTGTTGATATATTTACAAATGAAAAAAGTAAAATTTATTATGCTTCACTAGGTACCAACTCATAAGACGTCAGACTATTATAACAAAAAATTATAAACTTTGCAACTCATTTGAAACGCTCACACTTAAACATTTGAAACCCGCAGATGTATAAATATGTAGATATTTTCGAAACTATTTGACCAAAAGGGACCTACACAGAATAGCCAAATTCATAAAAGGTCAACTTTGCCTGATGAATTTTGGAACCTGAGTAGATAAGTAATTTCTTCATTTTTCTTGGATGAATTTCAGAAAATATGTTCTAAGTCTTGACAGTACCGTAGCACTGGCTATTTAACTGATGATACCCTAGGGGACTTACATTCCACCATCAGTGGTATCTATCAGTGCTAGTAAAAGAAAATAACGCTTTTAAAATTTAGTGCTTCCGAAGCGGTATCCTGGATTTACGTTTATCAGCAAGGCTCAATCTTGACATTTGGTAACCAGGGATGCATGAATACATAGAAACACTTTATTAGCTAGATCACCAAAAAGGAACATAAAAAGATATCTAAATATATCTATGGGCAACTTTGACTGAAAGAGTTCGAACCTAAGTATCTGAGTAATTTCTTAACCTATCAACGTCAAATTTTGGAAAGTATGTTATTAAAGAGACGCGAAAGATACCAAAGTGACATTCAAACTCATAAGTCGAATATATACTGACAACGCCATGACTTAAAAAGAAAAATGCCAATAGGCAAAAACAGTACACAACATAGAAAACTAAACCTTATATGAATAAAGGAACACGTTCTTAGTATTTTAGTACTTTCCAAATGATAAATCATGTATTATCAGCAGCCGGTTGTACGAACGTGTCATTAGTCTAATAAGTCATTAAGTCTTCATTAGCCTAATGAATCATAAAGGCTTAATGAAGACTTAATGACCCATTAGGCTAACGCCACGTTTGTACAACCGGCTGCTGGAGCACTGACTACTGAACTAATGATACACACGGGGATTTACAGTCAACCACCAGAGTATCGACCCAGTGCTTGTGAATTACAGATTTTAAATCCTGTGCGTCAGAAGCGCATGTCTGGATTTATCTTCACCAGGAACGCTCAAAACAAAATATCTGATAACCTGACAGTATACACTACCAGAGCTATATGACTAAAATTGACCTAAATGAATAATCAAATATAGCTAAGGTATATTGATAAATTTAAAGATGTAACTGGCAACCATTTGGTTGTTTTTGACAGGTTCCAAAACGAATATATCAAATTTATTCGTTTTAGAATGTTCTGTATATCTAAGAACACTGATAACTAACGTGAGTCAAATAGAATATAGAAAATCATGACGTTATCTAAATTGTGTTATTTCGCCTTTAACAGACTAGAATAATTTTTCTGAATAGGGAGAAACAATATCTTATTTAAAATTTATCAACAAAATATGGTTTAAACAAATCCTTGGTAGTTCCTGTTGCTTCGAGTTGGAATAACTGTTATTTTGTTTAATACACGATGAATAATGAGACGTCTTAGTCTCTTTGATTATGACATCAGACTTATCCACGAATAATTACTTGCCATAACCAATTCGACAGGTTCTGGAGCAGGAAACGGTAACGCTTCTAGAAAATGTTTGTGCTTTCCGTGTTTTTTTAGAAGTGTTTTTGATCTGTTTTATGCTTTTCGTGGATTTACTTTTGGACAGGCATGACACGGTGTTGTCTGTGTTCTTCGACTTATTGTTTTGGATTGCAAATCTTTTTTTCTAAGTGAGGTATGTTGTACAAATTATTATTTGACGTTTACACTATATGTTCATCTGTGAAAGATATTTAATTCTAAAACAAAATCACCTGGTAAACAGCTAGGTTGTGTGCACGTGATTTGTTCATTATCATTTCCTGTACATTTCTTCCCGCCTTTTTTGGGATACGGGTTAGAGCACTGACGATGACGTAAACGGACACCAACACCACACGTGACACTGCATGGTTCTTCCACCCACGCTGTCCATTTACCATCAACTAGAAAGATAATTACATTCTAAAATGAAGAAATTGTTTGTAATATAATACTCTAAAAATTGTAATGTTTTAATGAGTCCCGTAACTGCCATGATAACTCATAAAGCAATTGTTTGGACGTCCATCCATCACAGACAATAAGGCCAATTGTTTTTCCTCTATGTGCGTACTCTTGCTGGTAAGTTTTTTAGTCAGATGTAAAAACAAACATCAAGATTATTTCTAAAAATCATTTTAAAAATAAAATGAAGTATTTTATTTCAGAGGAAGTTTGACCTTTGGTCATTTTTATGTCCTAAATTATTATTTGGGTCAAAACATAAAAATCTGGATATGAAAAATTGGCTTCAAACTGTAATTCTTTTTTCCCCATCTATTATGGATGTTTTTTAATTTGACTTAGCTATAAAACCAGGTTCAATCCACCATTTTCTACTAAGGAAAATGCCTGTACCAAGTCAGGCATATGACAGTTGTTTTCCATTCGTTTGAAGTGTTTGAGCTTTTAATTTTGCCATTTGATAAGGGACTTTCCGTTTTGAATTTTCCTTGGAGTTCGATATTTTTGTTATTTTACTTTTTATAGGAATTTACATTTTGAAGCAGATTCTATATGTGCTATGCTACTTTTTCCCTTATGTCTCTGAAGTTTAATATTGATAGATTAACATGAAATTCAATTGAAAGTTGAAAGTTTTGTTTGAATTATTTCAGTTGACAACAAATTTTTTCATTTTTTCTTTTAACTAAAAACCGCATGTCATGATAAAAAAAGGGAAATTTTAACAGTGCATTCGTATTAGACATTGTTCTTCGATTACGTTTAAGTTTTGTTCAAATGAAATCAAAGCTTTATGGTGGTATCAAACACCTTGACTGAAATTAAATTGGCTCGTTTAATTGTCATAAAATTTTGACAAAATATTTACTTTGACCCATTGTCAAAAAAACTTGATCCACACACTTTATCGGAAAAAGTTTCATTGGATATACAGCAGTTTGACAAACACTAATTTTGATCATTCAGAAGCTTAATATTTCCTTAAAAATAGAACGTGATTAAAACGTTCAGCTGATTTTTACAGAGTCATCTCCCTGTAGTGTTATGTTCCACCTTAATAAGAATTTATAAGTTAACATTTATATTTAACCTGATTTGAAGAAAATATTCGCGGTAAAGTACCAGTCTAAATGACAATCATTGTATCGACGATATTTTCCTTAAACTGAACTTACTTTGATAAAGTCTTAGTTTGCAAAAATAATGCTTTCATTTATGAATCTTTCAAATTTCCAGTTAATCATAATTTACCGACTGAGGTTTTTTTTTGGAAGGCGTTTTGCATGGCATGTGTTAAGCAACAGTCCCCAATTAGTAAACATTGTATATCTATTGATCATTGCATATAAAATTCATAAAAAATTAGTTATGTGATTGAACTTTATCTAATCTTGCCCACACTGAGATTGAAAGAGTCTATAGAGTCCGGACTGTTTAAGTATTTTATGTATGTAATTCTGATACCACCATTATGTCATTATGACTTAATTCGTTCTACTTAACGATGTATATATTAGGCCATTGCAAACATCAAAACTAGGCTAAAATACTTTAAAAAGAGCAGTCCATTTGTAAGAGTAATTCGGTTGTTTTAATCATTCCATTTAGAAAAGCCATGTACATAGCTTTGAAGTGATATATAGAAACAAGAAGATATAGTATAATTGCAAATGGGACAACTCTCCATCAGAGACCAACAGACATAGAAGTTAACAACTATAGGTAGCCGTAGGGCCTTCAATAATGAACAAAACCCATACCGCATTATTAGCAATAAAAGGACCCGAAATGATAAATGTAAAACAATTTAAACGAGAAATCTAACGGCCCGATTTATGTACAAAAACAATGACCGAAATACAAAGATGATATACAACAACAAACGACAACCACTGAATTACAGACTCCTCCGTGGTCAATCTACGATAAGCTTCACATTTACCTTGTTTCAGCTGATGTTCATTTTCACTTAATTTACTGACATATGTATACTCCTTCAACTTTGCGATACTTATATTCATTTTTATCATTTATTCATGTTTGTACAATATTATGTTATATCATATAAATGTATGTCACTTACAAACAGTGTTCGACATGTAAAAGCTGATACCCTGGCATGTCTTCTGCGTTCTTATATCATTATTTAGAAATTTATATTAAAACCCCTTGAGCCTTCTAGTTGCATGATAAAATGTGTCACAATTGACCCGAAACTATTATTTATTGGGTAAAGTTTGAGTGTTTGTAAATTTATATTTCTAAGCTTCTTCTGAACGTATAAATACAAACAAATAATAAGAGCATTTAGTTTTAAGCCGGAGAGACCAATTTATAGTTTAACTATTGATGTGTACTGTATTTTACTTTAAGTTACCAGCTAAATCAATATATGTAATAAGAAGTGTCGGTAGCGTCAGTATTTTGAATTTCAAAAGCTTACTGAAAACGACACAACCAGCAGCATTACATTAAAGACGTTTTAACTAGTCATATAATTGTACAAAACGCATCGTGCGAAATGTCATCAATGTTTTGTTTTTTTTTCTTTTTTTTTTTGAGAAAAAGACCTTTCCATTATTGTGTTTCATAATTGTCTGAAAAAGATGTTATTGCTAATTTTTCTCTTAAAACATCCAGGCCAATTTAATATAATTAAGATTGTTTGCTACTCAGTTTCAAAATAACAATCTTTTTAAAAAACTGTTATAAATTGATAGTATATCAAGAACAGACCTTAAAAAGCAGAAAATAATAGCAGGTCCGTGTCCTTAATTTTGAGATATAATCATTTGAAAATTTGGATGGAAATTTCTCTCTCTAGATTTTTCATGCATGTGACATTGGTGCCTCTTTTCCTTTAACTATGAAAATATAACAAGGATTTTATAAGATTTTCAAAAATGACTTTTTATACTTCATGCAATAAAATTATAAAAAGAATAGAAGGGGTTAGCGGGCAAAGTTTTATTATTGCGCTGCATGGATAAAAATAGAGGATTTAGAATATCTGACAAAAATAAAAAAAAAAAAAGATTATCGAACATCCTTAAGATTGAGTAAATGTTGCCATTTGACGTTCATTGCAAATTCAAAATGTAAATTATTGGAACAGATATTCAAATTAAACCAAATCGCTTAAAATACTAGATAGCTCATAGTCATCAGATAAATGTGTACGAATATAAAAAAAAACTCAATAGGCCAGTGGATTATACCAAATTATAAATATACACACCTGACTTACTGATATGACTTTCCGCATTTTCTAGAAGCAAGTATTTGGTATCTAACAGACTGACACTGTGACTGAGGTTTTGTATTGTTTCATTTAATGTAGTCCAAGAACGAATTGTTTCGTTCAGTTCAAGTTCGTATTGTGTAGTGATTTCTCGTATGCCTTCAATTTCACATGAAAATATCCGTCTAGTGTTTTCAAGTTCATGTTCAAAATGTTGTTCTTGACCTTTCAGGAATGCAACTTCATTTTCGTTATTATAAACTCTTTGAAGTAGAGCATGGAAATTGTCTTTCATAATGCTTACCTCCATTTTGATATCTGTGATATTTGCTCCCTTATTTTGAGCATCCACAGAATTTTGTTTACTTTCACCAAGCAAATTTCCATTGCAGGAGCATGATAGACAAAATAATATCACAACTAAACACATTTTCATTTCATCAGATTTCACTTGTTCTCTTACATATACGTTTTATTTTTAACAAATTTCTCCTTTTACAAAATCTTTATGACCGCACACGTGTATAGCAGAAAAAAGGAGGACAAGAATGTACAGAAAAAAAGAAGAAGACGGAAGATAAAAGATTACCCAAACGTTTACTTTAAATGACTCTTCATTATCCGCATTTCAAATTTCATACACTTTAATTGAATACTTCATGTACTTGTAAACGAAGATACCGTCCTCTTCATATCAAATAAAATAATTAAGTAGAAATTGGATCAATATTGCATAATTAAAGATGTTGTTTAAACTTTAGAACTGAATACTTCATATATTTATAAAACCAAAGTTGCTAAAAAAAAAATGTAGATTAATTGATATTCGCGAGAATATAATCTTCATATTGTATGTACGTATACGAAATTACATGAAGTAACGACTTAAAAAAATAAGTTTAACTTAATAATCATAACACAGCAGCAGAACAGGCATTGTAGAAGCTGCTATAGAGAAATTTGAGATAATGTAAGCTGAAATTGAAATTGTGCATTTTTTTCTGCAATCTGGTTGTATAACATATTTTTTATTCCTATTATTTTATTTGGATTAAAAGGATCTAACAATGCTCAGTTTTACATATTCTGTTTTAAAGATCTTTCGGGACCTTGATGTCTCGTCGTAATGAATCACATCTTCAATAATTTGAAGGCAGATTTTTATTGGCTGATGTAATGATTACCAGAACAGGAAGTAGAACAGAGAGTGGTCAGATCCTTGTGAGCGAAGTTCGGACACTTAATATGTATTCTACTCTGATTGACTTTTCTTTGGAGTCTGTGATAAAATGTTGTATATGTTTTGTTTTTTTACCCAAGATTTGAGTTGCCTTTTGGATTTTCTTACTCCTTTCAAATAAGATATAAAAGAGATATCTTGTTTTTTTTATATCAAAAACATAGCGTTATAAATGTTTTTATAATTAAAAATTCAAATATTATATAAATAGCGTATGAATCATTAGCATTAGACATCTGGAAGTAATGTCTGATAAATATATAATGCATATGTAGGAAAACCACTATTGATTTAACTTATATCTGTTTCTTTCTTTTTCGTCTAAATCAAATCAAAACTGCCACTTGGCCTATCTTGCATATCTAATCAGTTGCGCCTGTAATAAGGAAGAAGTGGTTTATTTTCACAATTTAAAGCCTTTTCTAGTGTCTTATATATATTTAGGATATGTGAGAATATGTAGATAAATTATTTCAACACTTTACCAACAATTTCCATTTAGTGCTAAAACAAAACTTCTTTTAACCAAACGGTATTTCAGTGCATCAAAACAAATTAAAATGAATCAGTTTTATTATTTGTTTTACGCTACACAAGACAAACCAGCGGCACTCGATCCTAAACAGTCGACACCCAAATTAATCAGACATTTATAGAGCACTGAAAACATAAATTAAAAGAAAGTGTGGTTAATCAACACAAGTACTTAAATCAAAGATAATTTCAAAAAGAAGAAGTCCATTGAAACTGACAAATTCAAACGTAATCAACCAACGGATCGAATGAAAACAAATGTCATATCGTGACTTAGTACTTGCTAAGGCCATCTATGCTATGGGGTAAAAGAAAACGTAGTATTTTGAGTGATTTAAAAGCTTTATGAAGAGTAAATTTACCATAAGAAAACGGTTCAATGATATTTATTTTCAGCACTACTTGGCTTGTAATATCTTCGAAAAGAAACATTCCACCGGCAGTAGCTTCAACCAAGAGTTTAAAAGACTCATTAGAAATACAAGTCATATAATTATGTACTTTAAACAATTATACCCGCATGGTTTGTCTGCACATGGTTTATTAGTTGCGCTCTAATCAAAAGTATTTGAAGCGAGTCATAACTCCTTAATTAAACATATTTTGATATAAACATAAGATCCATGGCCTTTGACCCTAATATTATTGTCTATGTTATGTTCTAAATTTTGTTTAGATAATATTGACTTGATTTAGCAAATCCATTTAAAACTTTTATAGACAGACAAGAATAAATGCTCGATACATTAGAGCAATTTTTTGGTGCGTTACGTTAATCTAATGATAATTTTTACATTGGTTGTCCCTGAAATATTTGAAATACTGCTTTATTGGAGTTGGTTATAATGAAGTTCTGCCTGATGCTAATGATTCTGCTGAGGTTGGAAGTTATATAGTAGGGATCATGATGAACTGCATGTGACTGTGAAATAAACATATATTTACCGTCAAAAGGAAAGAGATATACAAGGGACCAGACCAAACCAGGCATAAAAATATCAACACAATGAAAAAAACGACGAAAGCAAACAACAATCAACGTAAAGCTGCAAATAAAACTGACGATTGACAAACAGGAATCCAACAAAAAAAAGCCGGAGTTGATCTCAAATACTTTTGAAAGGTAAGTAGATCCTACTCAAATAGCAAGCGTCGTGTTGCTCGTGCATATGTCATGTACAAATTCGGATATAATTCTCATTCGGTACTGTCACAATCGACAAGACTACTATACTTGTAATATATCCATGGTCATCTGTGACATTGATATCTAATAGTGGTCAATAAAATCATGATGACATACGTAGAATATTAAAGGGATGATTTCAACTATACCGCTAAGAATGATACTTGCTACATTGAAATCAGATATTAACGTCCATGTTCTATAAATAGTGACTTGGTGCACATCTCTTATTACACGTAATCAATGTATAACGAAAAAGAAGACAGCTTACTCTATGATGTTAGAGAAAAGAACAAGCATACGTATTTAAGAAATCAGTGTTTAGTTAGTTACCTTACATGTATCTCAAACAAATTAGTTTTTTCTAAGGGACGTAACTTATGTTTTCCTTTATGAATACGAATTTTCCAAAAGTACTGCAGTTTTCAGACAGTATGAGTTCAGATTAAATCATGATTTGATGGAAATTCAGGGTTTTTGAATTTTTTTTTTTCTGAAAATTGAAATTACAAACCGGGATGCGATATTCAGTACGTAGGTGAAACTGGACGATATTTATCTAAACGCACTCAAGAACATCTGTATCGTTTTAAAAGACCCAATAAATTCAAAAGTATCATTTATCAACACCTTAAGAAGCACAATCATCCTATTAAATATTTAGCAGTTCAACCTTTAGAAGTAGTAAATAAGCAGCCTGGTGAATCTCATTCAAAGTTTGTACGATCACGGAAAATAATTGAATTAAATTGGATTAAAAAATTACAGACAGTCTACCCTCTCGGTCTTAATGATAATATCATGGGAATTGGTAATATATCAAGAACCGATTCTGTTAACATTTTGGATATAGTTTCTAAAACTGTTCGTAAAAACCGTTCTCATGGGCGTAGAAAAACTCGCAATCAAAGAAAATTTCGTACCAATCATACCAATATTTCGGACCTAATTTCTATTTCAAAAAACAACGGCAGACATTATCTGTTAACAAAGCTCTGTTCATTACCGGTTAATAAGTTAAATAAAATTTTAGAGGATTGCAACACAATTTCATATAGCAGTCCTAAGTATGAAATCGTTCAAATTATAATGGCATATTGTTATTCTAAACTTTTTCCCAAAATTGATCGCCCTGAAGATCATAAAAAACAGTTTATTAAAATAAAGTATGTCAATAAAGGTTTTGATTTTGTAAATATTGCCGGTATTTTTAACGACCATTCTGTTAAAGAACAAATTCCGGGATATTTTGATAATACTGAGCTCCCTCTTATTTGTTATATTTACAAGAAATCTACCCGGAAATTTGTGTTTAATTATAGCCAATTGTGAAAAGATGTTAATATCAGTGAAAATACACCTACTTCATGTAATTGCAGTAATTCCGAAAACATTTATGGACCCATTTCCCATGTTATAACAGGAGATCTTAACATCGTTCAAGACCGAGAGTTAAAATCATTCCTCAGTAAAGGACCTAAATATCGTCCCCCGTCAATTATTAATTGGAATGAGTGTCGTAATATCATCCACGACTCGATCCATACTTACTGTTTGAAATGGATAAAACGGGAAAAAGCTGACAAAAAATCTTTGGACTCTTTTTTTAATTCAGTAATGAACATAGTTGATATACGTATTCAACATTTTAAAGAACATTTTACTCTTAACAATAACCACAATAAACCTATTTCTCGTATCAAACATAAACTAAAAGAACTAGCCAAGGAATTTGTTTTTGTCCCGGCCGATAAAGCTGCTAACAATATTATTATTGTTTGACGTAAATTTTACATTGAGGTTCTGAAAAAAGAAATCACCAATTCACCAACATTCCAACTGACTCCATTTTCAGAAAAGGACATCTGTAACAAACATAAACTTTTAGATACCGCTTTACAAGCAGAACCAAATACAATGAAAGTCCCAACTATGTATTGGCTTCCGAAGCTACACAAAACACCTTACAAATATAGATTCATTTCGTCTTCAAGCCATTGTTCCACTACTAAATTGTCTATTCTTCTTACCAGTACACTTGGTACAATCAAAAACCTGATAATAAATTGTTCAAATAAGGCCTTCGAAAATAGTGGAATTAATTACTTTTGGAGTGTCAAGAACTCGTTGGAAGTACTTGATAAATTACATGCATATATTGGTGATTTTGAATCTGTTCAAAGTTTTGATTTTTCTACCCTATATACCACATTGCCTCACATTCTCATTAAGAAAAAAATCACACACCTAATTAAATGGGCATTTAAAAAGCCAGAATGTGAATATATATGTTCAAACATTTTTAGGTAATTTTTTAGTAGCAATAAACAAAAAAACTATAACAATTGGACATGCTTTGATACTATATATGCCCTTGAATTTTTACTAGATAACATTTTTGTTCGCTTAGGAGATTCCGTATATCGTCAGGTTATCGGAATTCCAATGGGGACTAACTGTGCACCACTTATTGCGGACCTTTTTTTGTATTGCTATGAATTACAATTTATGACAAAAATCAGCAAAGACCCATCGAAACAACATCTGATACACAAATTTAATAATACTTTTAGATATTTGGATGATATTTTGGCTCTCAATAATGACGACTTCAGTATGTATACTAAAGAAATTTATCCTGTTGAACTTACTTTAAATAAAGCTAATACTA